CTGCTATAGTGTAGATCAGCTGGTTAGTTTTGGTAATAGTCACAGTGGGCATTTTCCATAGTACTGCATTCACATCATCAAGTCGATCCTCATAGAGTACTTCAAGTAGTCTTGGTAACCGGCTATGGAGGATCCAAGTTTCAAGTTTCATCATGATCCTATGTTTCAGGTCAGTTCCTCTCACACTCAACGATCCTTACATCACACTTGGGGCTTGGTACCCAATCTCGGGTGGGGGTGATGATATCTCCTCCCTGACCTGTCATCCTGGCTCTTCCTTGCAGCAGTAGCATTCCAATAGCACCTGATTTTCAGCCAGTCAGTGTGTTTGGCAAATCAAGCATATAAACTGTTTTGGGTTTTTTTTTGTGTATTATCTGATGCGTATGGACCAATGCTGATGTGAATGCTGATTGCGGATTGCAGCTTTTTCATAAGGTGCTGGCTTTGATCCTTTCTTTAATTTGATATTGTATTTGTTTGAGCAGAATGTAAATGTGAGTGTGGAGGCAAAAAAAAAGGTTGTTAATTGCAGGAATAATGATAGCTAACGGTACTTGTGTCAGTAAGGATTGCACTTGAACTTGAATAGAATATTTAAAGTGCCTCACAGATTGATCTGTATCTCCTACAGCTCTAACAGCAGTGATCCAAACACAGCAGACTGTGCTGGCAGCAGTGGGAGAAGATGCTGAATTCAGCTGTCAGCTCTTGGAGACTAAAGACGTCCTTCAGGTCACATGGCAGAAAATCTCACATGATGTGGAGACAAATGTTGCCACCTACAGCAAGTACTATGGTCAGAGAGTGAATGATGGCTTTAACGATAAAGTTGGGTTTAAATACACTGGACTGCAGAACTGCTCCATAGTCATCAGGAATGTGACGGAGCAGGATGAAGGCTGCTATCACTGTCTGTTTAACACTTATCCTGACGGCTCTCTGACAGGGAAACCCTGCCTCCGAGTTTATGGTAAGAACTTTTACCTCAAACAAACATACTGGAAATAAATGTGTGAGCAGCTGGTGTGTTTGTAAGAACATGTTGATGATATCTCCTGATCCTTCACAGAGCTGCATGAACCTGTTGTTGATGTCAGAGAGTCAAACTCTACTGAAGAGTGGGTTGTTTCCTGTTCAGCCACTGGTCGACCTGCTCCCACTGTAACACTCAGTGTCTCACAACAAGACCTCAGCTTCTCACAGTACAACACTGTCAGTGTGTCCAACACCAACGCTACATTCACTGTCACCACTACAGCTGTGCTCTCAGGTTCATGTAAACACAGCACACAGGTGGGATGTGCAGCACGAGTGCTCTCTGCTCCTCACAGAGAGGTGATGGTGACAACTCCAGATGATGATGATGATGATGGTGAGAAACTCTTTCAAAGTCATCGATTTATAAATTAATGATTACCCTGTGATTCAAATGTTTGGGTTCCTTCTTCCAGGTTTGGATGAAAAATCTAATCAGAGAAATTTCGGTACGTCAAAATTTACACTTTTTAAAGCCAGTTTTTCTTTTCCATCTGTTGATATTTAAAATGTAATACCCCCTCTTTGTCCATAGGATCCAGGACTTTAGTCATTCTATCCTCTGCTGCGTTGTTGTTTGCCTGTGTTTCTGCACTCATCTCTGTCTGGCTTAGAAAGAAATCTCAGAGCAGGTAATCCTCTTAAACAGCGTTGCTTTTTGTCTTTTTGTTGAGCTAATAAATATTTGTGCAGATGTAACTGTTCTTGAATCTTACAGTCAGTCACATGGGCCAGTTGAGATGAATGACATGGCTACCTGAAGCTACAATGAGAGATACTCAGGAGTAAGTCAAGCTTGATGCATCATTCTGCATCTACAACGTTATAAACCCAGCTATGAAAAATTTGGAATGCTGTTAAATACGAATAAAAGTATAATGCAGTAATTAGAACATTTTATAAACCTATCACAATATAATGTTGAAAGTATATCAAATTGATGAAATGTAAATCTAATGAAATAATGACATTTTTAGCTTATTTTGGATTTGGTGTCTCTAAACGCATCTCAAAAAGGTTGCCACAGGACACCAAAAGTTCAAAATGAAAGAAACAACTGGAAGAACATTTTACAACTAACTAGATTAACTGTCAAAATGCTAGTAGTATAAAATGAGGATTTTAAAGAGACAGGGTTTGTCAGAAAATGGCCAGATGTTGACTTTTAAGATTGTGAACTTGGAAAATAATGTAATAAAACATGCAATGGAAAGTTAAAATTAAAAATATGTTTTGACATTTGGAATTTTCTGACTTACCTCCAGAGCTCCTTTTTATTCTTTTACTTCCTTTGTAAACTAATGTAAACTGCATGTCAACCAAACTGATGCGTATATCTTTCCACTAAGCTATTACTTCATTTACAATACTTAGATTCTGTAATATTGACAGAGCAATGATATAATGTTGTTTTTATTTTATTTTAAAGGACTAAAACATCTTCAGGTAAACAACGTGTCAGTCAGCGCAAAAAGCGAATGCCTGCTGACACCACATGATGATCTGGGGCCTTGGAGTGATGAAACGTTTCTCCCACAAAACGCTACGTTCAGATGAACAGAATCAACTTTTGGAAATTAATTTGCATCAAAACTACAGTTTGACAGATTTTTGCTTTTTGTGTTTACTTTTTGCTTTTTTATCAAGAAGAGTGTATTTTCTAAAACAATGGTGCTAATTTGACAAATAACTGCACTAACGTTGGACTAAAGAAAATGGTAATTGTTACAGGGAAATTGCAGTTTTTATATCATCACTTTGTGCTATATATTTATAGCATATTTATTTTATTTATTTTTTCACCAGTTTTTAATGTTGTTATACCTTTTTATATTTGGAAACACGAGACCATGTTGTCCCTTAACAAAACAGCACTGAAGTTCTGTTTACAAAGCACTAAAATGTGTTGCACTGAAACATTTGCAAACTGTTAAATAATATTATTGTCCTGTACATTTCAATTTTCTGCTGTTTATTTTTTCCACTGTTTTTTTTTTAATATTTGAAAGAAAAATTGAAAATGCAAGAAAATAAAAAATGTACTATAAAAAGTAATGTTTTGTTGTCATTTTACGGATATTTATATTTTCAATTTGACTTACTTTAAATGACTTTAAATGAAAGTCAGCAGGAGTGAGTGACTAACATGAAGCATTTCTCAGTACCTTTGGCTGATTGATATAATTTCTTTTGTTGCTGGAATTGATATGATTGATACCAACAACCAAATTTAAATAATTCCCAACAGATTTTCAGCTAAAATTGAATAACATGGCCCCTGAGGGTGCCTTATTATTCATGATAAAAATGCTGAGGTGTTGAGGAGAACAGATTTGAAGTTTATTATTAAAAGGACTAAGCATTTGTTAAGTCAGTGTAAAACTTTTGGATTTCTTTTGTTTTTTGTTTGAATAAAAGACATAAGAAGCCAAATGTGTTTTAAGTAGACTGTAGGGCAGGGGTGGGCAATTCCAGGCCCCGAGGGCCGGTGTCCCTGCAGGTTTTAGATGTGTCCTTGAACCAACACAGCTGATTTAAATGGCTAAATTA